ACAGTTCAGAAGCATCAACTCTTTGGTGCTCAGCTTTCTTTATAGTCCAACTCTCACATCCATACATGACCACTGGAAAAACCATAGCCTTGACTAGATGGACCTTTGTTGGCAAAATAATGTCTCTGTTTTTTAATAAGCTGTCTAGGTTGGGCATAGCTTTCTTAAAAGGAGCAAGCATCTTTTAATTTCATGGCTGCAGTCATTATCTGCAGTGATTTTGGAGCCCAAGAGAATAAAGTCTGTCACTGTTTTCATTGTTTCCCCATCTATTTGCCATGAGTGATGGAACAGGATGCCATGATCTTAGTTTTCTGAACATTGAGTTTTAAGCCAACTTTTTCACTCTCCTCTTTCACTTTTATCAAGAGGCTCTTTAGTTCTTCTTCACTTTCTGCCATAAGGGTGGTGTTATCTGCATATTTGAGGTTATTGATATTTCTCCCTGCAAACTTGATTCCAGCTTGTGCTTCATCCAGCCTGGCATTTCTCATGATGTACTCTGCATATAAGTTAAACAAGCAGGGTGACAATATACACCCTTGATGTACTCCTTTCCCAATTTGGAACCAGTCTGTTGTTCCATGTCTGATTCTAACTGTTGCTTCTTGACCGGCATACAGGTTTCTCAGGAGGCAGGAAAGGTGGTCCAGTATTCCCATCTCTTTAAGAACTTTCCACTGTTTTCTGTGATCCACACAGTCAGAAGTTTTGGCATAGTCAATAAAGCAGAAGTAGATGTTTTGATAACTTTGTACTTTGGTGTGAGATTTCAATTAACTTAAAATAACCAGCGGGAAACTTTGTTTAGGCAGTCCAAAGAATTAAATATTGAACATGTCAGTGAACATAACAGAAGATTTTTGCCTTTGTGGAGTTTATCCTCTAATGGGGGCTTTTTATGCTCTTTCTCGTCTGTTGCTTTGTTTGTCCTTTTACCAGTAGCACCCTGTCTTTAGTTACTCTGGCTTTATAATAAGTCTTGTAGGATATCTCCTCCCACTTTATACTTCAAAAGTGTCTTGGGACTTCCCTGGTGGTCCAGTGGTTAAGACTTCACTTTCCAGTGGAGGGGTTGTTGGTTTGATCCCTGGTTGGGGAGCTAAGATTGCACATGCCTCGTGGCAAAAACAAAAAACATAAAACAAGCAATATTTTAATAAACTCAATAAAGACTTAAAAATAGTCCACATAAAATAGATATATATATATATATCTTGACTATTCTTGGCTCTTGACTCTCTCACAGAAAGTTTAGAGTCAATTTATATATATTTTAATTGCATTTTGTACTTTTGTGTGCTGTTTCCCTCAGTTTTATTAAGATATGATTGATATATTATATAGGTTTGAGTCTATGTTGATTTGATACACTTGTTTATTACAAAATGATTACCACCATAGCTTTAGCTCACAGCTCCATCACATCACACAATTACCACTTCATTTTTGTGGTAAGAATATTTAAGACTTACTCTCTTTTAACTTTTAAGCATGTAATATCATAATGGGTCACATGTTGTATGTTACATTCCAACAACTTATTCATCTTATAACTGGAAGTTTATACTCTTTAAGGATCATTTCCCTATCTCCCTCCCTCCCAGCACTCCATTATTTGTTTCAGTGAGTTCATTCTGCCTTTGTGTTAATGATGCTATTTAGATGCTCTTATAATTGAAAAACTTGCTGGCTTGCATTAATTGAAATAATTTGTCTCCCCATTATTTTGAGTTTTCTTTGTAGATACTCAGATTATATGAATAAAAAGTTTAGTTTTTTCTTTGCAGTGCTCATATAGTTTAAATTTTTTCTTGCCTTATGTTGTAATTGTAATCTTAGTATTATATAGACTAAAAGTAGTAATAGTGGGAATCCTTATGTTGGTCTAAATTTCAGAAGGTTTGAATGCTTCTGAGCATGTTATTTCCTATCTGATTTTTGGTAGATTCTCTTCATCAGATTGAGAAAATTCTGTTTATTCCTCATTTGTTAAAATCTTTATCATAAAGAAATGCTCAGTGGTTTTCCCACATTTATTGAGATGACCATTTAGATTTTCTGTTTTCAGATTTTATGTAGTTAATTGTATTAATAAATTCATGGTTTACTCTTGTTTTCCTGACAACCAAAAGAAGTCTGCTCAACAAAGTAATCCTTCAGAATTGAAGGAGAGATGAAGAATTTCCAGGGAAGTAAAAGTTGAAGGAGCTCATGACCACTAGACTAGCCTGTAAGAAGAAAGCAACTTCATTGATACTAAATAAAAGGATACTAGTTAGTAGTAGTAAAATATATAAAAGTACAAATTCTACTGGTTAAATTCAGAATACCCAAATATTTTAATGGTGGGTAAATCAGTTATACATCTAGTATGAAGGTTATAAGGTCAAAGTAGTAGAAATAATAACTACAATAATTTGTTAATGATACACAAAGTAAAAAAATACATACTGTGAAATAAAAAACATAAAACGTGATGAAAGTGTGAAAGTGTTAGTCACTAAGTTGTGTCCCACTCTTTGCGACCCCATGGACTGTAGCCTGCCACACTCCTCTATCCATGAAATTCTCCAGGCAAGAATACTGGAGTGGGTAGCTATTCCCTTCCCAGGGGATCTTCCCAACCTAGGGATCTAATGAACCTGAGTCTCCTACATTGCAGGCAGATTCTTTACCATCTAAGCCACTGGGGAAGCCCCAGAATGTGATGAGGGGAGGGTAAAATTACTGTATGAAAACCTGAGAAGCAGTAGAACTGATGGTGTCCTAAAATGTGTTCAAAGGCAGTCAGAGACCAGTGTCTCAGTTTGAAGGCAGACAGAGAAGTTGCATTCTTTGTTACTCCTCTCTCGTTGTATTCAGGCCTTCAACAGATCGGATGATGCCTACCCGCATTGGAGAAGCTATCTGCCTTACTCACTTTACTGACTCATAGGTTAGTTAACCTCATGCATAAATAACTTCAAATACATATCAAACTAACATTAACCAAATATCTGGGCACTTAATGGTCCAGTTAAGCTGAAACGTAAAATTAACGATCACCCAGATCAACTTGGCACTGATATCTCCTTAAAATATATTTAGTCTCCAAATAAAGATAATAACAGAGTCACAATTCTGCCTAATATGATACAGTTATCCAGCACACAGTTGAAATTGCACTAAGCCCTTTCCTGGAAGATGAGGTTAAGTCCATGAGAGACATTTATACTTCTCCTTAATATTCCTAGCTTAAATACTATGATATAAATACTGTAAGTCCAACGCATTTTTATATTACATGATGAGGGAGTAAGAGTGGGAAGGAAAGAAGATATTTCCCTAACAACCACACAAAGAAGTATTTACACACAGCAAAAAGTATTCATAACAAAATGACCATTACAATGCCCTTTATGTAACTGGTTAGATGATTGTAGCTTGCATTAATGACTACCTTCTCCCACTTTCTATTCCGTATTCCCCTGCCTTTAGCAAGCACCTCAGCTGGTTGTGGTTCTTTAACTGGTGGAGAGACCCAAACCGTCATTCTTGAAGGATCTGAGGTATTAGTAGTCCTTCCAGGATTGGGTTGTAGTTTTCCATTGACATTAATCACAGGGCATGGAAATTCTATGAGACATCCTGAATGATCTCCTGTATTCCAGACATACTCTTTCTTACCTCTACTGTGGAGTACCAGTCGAGTTTCCACTGGGGAGTCAGTATCGCTCACCCCTGCCAACCCAGTAACTCCTTCTTTGTCTGTTGATTCAGAAGCATGTGGAACCCAGGGTGACTCAGCTGCAGTCTTAAGTTTCATTCAATGGAATAATTGTTGTGTCAATGGAATAAATGTGAAAAAGCATTCCTCCCTCTCGAATTAAGACCTCTAGGCTAGCAAATCATAAGACCATGGGAACAGGAAGCAACAGTTTTGCTAGCGGGTCTTTAGAAGTAATGATGAGTGGTGCCTCTCCCTTTCCATCCCTTAATTCCTAGACCTGTGAATTCTGTGCGTGGGAGAAACTGCACCATATATTGGATGTTGATTCATAGGCTGTATAGTCTTCTGGAAAACCTTACCCCTGCTCTACAAGGTATTACCACCTTACTGGCCCCATCGCTCAGCCTTCAAAAGGTCATTTCATCATTCCGTCAGACCAGGTGTTTCATAATGGTGGGAAACATGTTAAGAGTGTGTGTGTGCGTGTGCGCGTGCCCACTCAGACATGTCTGACTCTTAAAGACCCCATGGACTGTAACTCCCTAGGCTCCTCTGTCCATGGAATTTTGCAGGCAAAAATACTGGGATAGGTTGCCATTTCCTACTCCAGGGGATCTTCCTGACTCAGGTATTGATCCTGCATCTCTTGCATGGGCAGGCAGGTTCTTTACCAACTGTACCACTCGAGAAGCTCTTATGTTAAGAATAGTGAGTTCCATTTAACCTGCGATATCTTCCTCTGTACTTTGAATCATCTCTAGATTACTTATAATACCTAGTACAAAGTAGATGTCATGTAAGTAATTGTAAATACAGTGTAAATGATATGTGAATATCATTGTATTTGCCAATACATGGCAAAATCAAACTTTGCTATTTGGAACTTTTTGGAATGTTTTTGTTTTTAATTCAAGTATTTTTAATTTAGGGTTGGTTGATCTGAGGATGTAGAATGTGAAGATATGAAAGGTCAACTGTGTTGGTTATTTGAGTACGGTAACATAATTTTCTGGTTACCAATATAATGAATTGGTTGTTAAAATTTTGCGTTTTGAAATAGTAAATGCCCTCAAAGATGCCTACACAAATCAAGAAATAACATTGATGACACTGTTTTTTTCTCTGGAAGTTTCAGCTTATGTAGGAAAGATGCAGTTCTTTGTCATAGAAAATTGTATACCTACTCTGTCATTTGAGAGAACAATTTGTACTTTATTAAGCAGAGTGTTGTAATTGATATTTTTCAGTTTTACAGTTCTTAATGTTGGCATATTGATTTTCTTGGCAGGTTTTCTTTAGGTGATGCTCGGAGGCCTCTTCATGAAACGGCAGTTTTGGTAGAAGATGTGGTGCACACTCAGTTAGTTAATCTGGTAAGGGCGTATCATCCTATTTGGTAGCTCTGCTCTGTGTTCTGCTTATACTGGCATTGAAACCCAACAGTTTTTTAATCTTTTTTAAAAAACATTTCAAATTCTTTCTTGTCATCTCTATTGAGATATAATTTTCATGTCACAAAATTTCACCAGTGCATGATTCAAAGAGTTTTGTCAACTGAGTATTGTCATGTGACTAGCAGTGCAGTCATTATATAGAAATATTTCCGTCATCCAAAAACATTCCTTTGTACCCCTGTGCCATCACTCTTTTCTCCCACTCCTGATAACGCTGGTCTGTTTTTCTATCATTATATCAGTGTACTTTTTTAGAACTTAAAAATGATCTTTTGCTCTGTATTTGAGATGTGTGAAGAATTCCACAAACAGTGTAGGTAATTCTCAGGTGGCAGTCGGCTTCCTCTGTTGACAACCTGCATAACTGCACTGCAGTTACCAAACCAGGAATAACACTGGTGTCACACTGTGACAAAATTACTGGCCTTGTTTCAGTTTTGTCAGTTTTCGCCTTAATGTCCCTTTTCTGTTCCAGGGTCCAGTCCAGGGTAACTCACTGCAGTGATCTGCCCGCTCTTTGTGGTCTACTGTCTGTGATCGGTCTTTTCTGAGTATTCCATGACGTATCTATTTTTGAAAATTATGAAACAGTTATTTTGTAGAGTGCTCTTCTTTGTCAATTGGTCTGATACTTTCTTATGGTTAGAATGTGACTGTGCCTTTTTGGTGAAAATCACAGAAGTGATGGACTTCTCTGCGTATCATGTCAATGGATTCATGTTGTTAATGTTTTTACAATTTTAACCTTGATAACTTGGATAAGGTGTTATGTGCTGAGTTTTTCTGCTATGATGAGGTTACTTTTTTTTTTTTCCTTTTTTTGTTAATAAGTGTCTTGTGGGAGATATTTTATGACTATGCAAACACTCTTTCTCTGAAAAAAATTGCTTATTTAACATTCACCAGTGGATATATGCTTTTCTTTTCCTTCTTTCCTTTTATCTTTTTAAGTTGCAATTATTCTGAGAGGAATAGCTATCCTTTATCACCATTACTTAATAAATGTTTAATGTACATCTGTATAGATTAATGTATATTTAAGTTTTGCTCTTATAATCATTGTGTAATAATATTTTTATTTATTTTTACTGCTCAGTTTGTTCCAGCATTGGCCGTTAGAAATGATTTCACGTCCTCTCCTCATTTTCCCATCAAGTCTTTGGTCCTGTATCTCCTCAATGTTAGGCATGTCAGTCCTTTGCTTGGGGCATATGCTACAGGTATATTCTTCTGCTGTGCAGTTTTCTTTTGACTTTGTTTCTATGACAAAAAACATAAAACATGTGTTTGGGGGCATACAAGTATTTTTATTTTAATGTAGTCAAATGCACCAATATTTTATTTCCTTTGTATTTTGAATTATAGTTAGTAACATTTTTCTTATGCTGAGTTTTAAAGAGAAATTCATCCATACTGTCTTCTAATACCTGTGTGTTCATTTTTAACATTTAGTTTCCTAACCATCATCATTTATTAGAAAGTACCTACTTTCATAATTTGAAATGCCTCTGTCTTTATTAAATTAGCATGTATATTGGGGTCTATTTCTGATTTCATGTTCTGTGTGTTGAAGTGTTAGTTGCTCAATCATGCCTCACTCTTTGTGACCCCCATGGACTGCAGCCAACCAGGCGCCTCTGTCTATGGGATTCTCCAGGCGAGAATACTGGAGTGGGTTGCTATTTCCTTTTCCAGGATATCTTCCCTACCCAGGAATCGAACCCAGATCTCCTGAATTGCAGGCAGATTCTTTACCAGCTGAGCTATACCAGTGGTTTATTTGTCTATGCATATGCTAACATAACATTTTTAATTGTAGAAGTTTTATGGTATATCTTAAAGATTCTCATGACTATATACCCCTTTTAATGTTATCTCATTATGTTCCTGATTATTCTTATATGTTTATTTTTCCATATGAACTTTAGTTTTAAACTTTCTAGCTCTGTAAAATAGCTTGTTGGTATTTTAATCAAGATTGTGTGAACTTTTAAATCAAGTTAAAGAGAACTGTATCTTAATGTTGAATCATTCTAAGGAAAGGGAATGTCTACATTTTGCCAAGACTATTTTTGTGTCTTTCATGAGTGTTTTGATATTTTTCTTCTATAGGCTTCATGTATTTCTTATTAGATATATTCCTAAGTATTTAATCTTCTTATTTGCTATTGGAAATAGGCTTTACCTGTAATTACATAATGACTGAAAGCATCTAGAATTTACTGAAATACATAAATCTGTCTCAGAAAGCTGAGCAAACTCCAAAAAAGGATAAGCCCAAAGAAATATATGTTCAAACTACTGACTATGAGAGACATAGTAAAAATCTTAAAAGCACCCAGATTTATTACTATAGGGGACCAATGATTTGAAGGACCACAGAATTTTCATGAAAATACAAAGACTAGGAGGCAGTAGCAGAACAGATTTAAAGTACTGGATTCTGTTTTCTCCACATCCTCACCAGCACTTGTTATTTCATATCTTTTTCATAATAGCCCTACCCAGGTATTGACGTAAAACAGACAACATAGATCGATGGAACAGAATTAGACCCCTGAAATATCCCACATGTACATAGTCAATTAATGTACAAGGAAAGTAAGCAAAGTTGGAGTTTTTGTTTGTTTTCTTTGGGGCTTCTCAGCTGGCTCAGGGGTGAAGAATCTGCCTCCAGTACAGGAGTCACGTGGCAGCCTCGAGTTTGAGCCCGGGGTCGGGAGGGTCCCCTGGAAGAGGGCAGGGCAACCCACTCCAGCAGTCTTGCCTGGAGAGTCCCATGGCAGAGGAGCCTGGAGGGCTACAGTCCAGGGGGCTGCAAAAGAGCTGCATGACTTAGTGATGAGAGCAAGCTAACAAAAAGCCGGAATTGGAGAGCTGCATGCAAAGGAATGGAATTGTGTACACTGTACACAAAAGTTAACTCAAAATGGATTAAAGAGTCAAATGGAAGACCTGAAACCATGAAATGCCTAGAAGAAAACATAGACCAATGCCTTGACATAGGTCTTGGTGATGATCTTTTTAATCTGACAACCAAAACAAAAGCAGAAATAAAAGCAAGTGAGACTATATCAAACTAAAAACTTGTGCACAGGAAAGGAAACCCTCAATAAAATGAAAAGATAACCTACCGAATGAGAGAAAATGTTTGCAAATCATATATCTGATAAGGGACTAATATTCAAAGTATATAAAGAACTTATGCAACTCAGCAGCAAAAAATAAACAATCCGATTAATAAAATGGGAGGAAATCTAAATATTTTTCCAAAGAAGACTTGAAAATGGCCAACACGTCCCTGAAAAGCTGCTCACCATTATTAACCATCAGGGCAATGCAAATCTAAACCAGTGACATACCACCTTATAAACCTGTTAGACTGGCTGCTGTCAAAAAGACTATAAACAGCAAATGTTGGTAAGAAAGTGGAGAAGGGGAAGCCTTGTGCATTGTTAGTGGGACTGTAAATTGGTGCAGCCACTATGGAAAACAATATGGAGGTTACTAAGAAAATTTAAAACAGAAATACCATATCATCCAGCAATTCCAGTTCTGGTTATTTATCCAAAGAAATGAAAACACTAACTCAAAAAGACATATGCACATCCAAGTTTATTTGTAGTACCCAGGATATGGAAACAAGGTGTGTATTCATAGGTGGATGAATGGGTAAAGAAATTGTGGTGTAGCTACACAATGGAATTTTATTGAGCCACAAAAAATAATGAAATCTTGCCATTTGCAGTACTATGAATGGACCTTCATGGGTGTTATGCTAAGTGGAATAAGGCAGACATAGAAAGACAAGTACCGTAAGAGCTCTCTTTTAACTGGAATCTAAAATAAAAACTAAATCAAGCTCATAGATACAGAGAAACAGATTGGTGGCGCTGCCAGTGTCAGGGAGTAGAATGGAATGAACGGTTTTGGTTTTTGTTTTAGTTTAAATAAGCTGTTTTTTTATTTTAAAAATAAACTAATTTTTAAAACATTATCATAACTGATAATTGTAGTATTCACACAGATATAAGTATGCACAACTCTAGTCTAGAGTTCTTCATGCTTTTGTCTATACTCGTCTCTATAAAAAACATACTTTAAATCTTTCATAGGAGTCAACATGTATTTGTTAAACTTAACTGAGGAAAGTAAGCATCAGGATAGAGGTAATAAACTCTTGAGCTATACAAAGATATAGCATAGAATCTTTTAAAATTTCACTTGCAGTATATGAAGATACAAATTTAGTTGCCAGCATTTTTAAATTAGATCACTTTTTTACAAAAACAGGATTTCTGGCTTCTCTTGAAACATTAGAATTGGAATGTTTGACAACATAGGTATGAATTTTGAAGTGGAAAGCTGAGCTTAGGAGCCACTTCTACCTGTAGTCTTTTCACAGACTGGTTTTTAACCAGTAAAAACCAGAAAATACTTAACCAGAAAAGTATTCAGCATTGATGGAGTTATATAGCATTTTGTTGCTATATTTCCCATCTCCCAATTTCAGTTTTTCAAAACACTCATACTTTTTAATTTTGGAAGAAAATGATGTTTTTAAAGGAATTTTTCTGGAAGAACTGTGAGAACAGTATTATGTCCATCTCTGATGTTCATAGACAAAAATAATAAAGAAGTTTTTTATGTTATATGTTTTTTTCCTCCCATGACTTAGTGCTGTTAATGCAAGAGTGATCTGTGAAATGCTTTGATAGTGTAGTATCAAAGGTAATACATAATATAGAAGAAACCAGAAGGAACTTGTTCTCCTTTCCTGAAGGCCCTTACTTAACACCTTAATCTGAAACTTTCAGTTCAGTTCAGTTGCTTAGTTGTGTCTTGACTCTTTGTGTCCCCATGGACTGCAGCACACCAGGCTTTCCTGTCCATCACCAACTCCTGGAGCCTACTCAAAC